GCACATACTCTGTGAGCAGAAGGTCCCTGGCTCAGCTACCATTGAAAGTTCTCAGGCTGCTTAAGACAGTGGAGAGCTCCTGACAGTCATGGTGGACTACTCTAAATTATTTATTTATTTATTTATTTATTTATTTTTATACCCCGCCCTCCCCGCGAAGCAGGCTCAGGGTGGCTGCTACAATGAGGCTGAGCAGAGCGCAATCTAGGCAAGCCATTGTATGTGAGATACTCTATGGATACGTTCAGACTGGCAGTTTGGCCCAATATAGCTGTGTTCCCCTAATGGATTAAACCTGCAGGGTCACACAGCCGCATCTGTCAGCCATTCCCCAGTTGTACTCACCTCGTTGTACGAGTTGGAAAGGGAGTAAATAGACACCACGTAACATGTGGTGTTTTCGGTTCCTTGTGCATTCATTGCACGTGGCCAGATGACTGAATGTGGGGGACCACATGCAGAATGGATTGGCAGTCTGAACCTGCAGATCCGTTTCCGCCACTGGGTGTTTTTGGGGTTGGTTTTTTTTAGTGTCTGCCTATATGCACATATGTGCATGCACCCATGTACAGTTCGGGCAGCACACTCCATAGCTGAGGCACTGCAGTAATGTGGATGCATGCCCATGGGATGTAAGGTGTGCTGTCTGGTTGGTATGCCCCCAATACTTCAAAGAGCTACGATTAGAGGTCCAAGCTGCCAGTCTGCCAGTCTGTTCGCAGCCTATGTCTTTCAGCTCAGGTTGTTGTGCAAGCAGGCTTCATGACCCTCTGATTGTCTTTTTTTTTTCCTTTTTGCATGTAGTGAAATGGGTGGAAATTCCAGTCTTGTCCTTTCAAAGGTGAGATGAAATAAGAAAAATAAGCCATTTGACTTTCTTTTCACTTTATGTCACTGACTGCTCTGCTATTCCTCTCTCTGCCTCCTGCCCTGCCAGTAGTCTTGTTCTCTCTCTCTGTAACTTGGCGCTGTTCTGCCTGGTCCTGTTTCCTACATAAGGTGCCAGCTTTCTTGAGGCATCCTGCCAACGAAACCAATCTGAGGGGGGAAAATCTCAGATACTTTCCAAATAAAAACTTTGGCACCAGTCTCTGTGCAACCCAATTAAGGCAGAGATGAACATTAACATCCTCAAGGCAAGACTAGTGGGAGCATGCACCCCCCTCCCTCACCCAGATGTAGATCAGATTTACAGTGTGGATGTGCATTTAGAGGTGTCTCCTACTCTGTGTGTCCAGTTCTCAGTCTTGCAAGGGACACTCGGTGTGTCCAGTTCTAATATTTATTCTATTAGGACTCCAAGCAGCTGTGATAAGTTTCATTGGAAGCTGTTCTCTCACTAAAATATGGTGCTGCCGATGTGAGCTGAAGACACAATGCAGTTTATTTTCTGTGCCTTGAGTTATGCCAGTTCCACTCTCATAGCCATTCTAAGTCGTGCCAGCCCCATCCACAGTGCTTCCCGAGGCCAGCTGCTGCCACCTCCACCCCTTCTTCCTGGAAACCAGAGCAGCTATAGCTCCCTGCTCCCTTTTCTTCCCCTGGTCTCTTTAAAATTAGTGGGCCAAGCTTTGCATGTGCAGTTGGGCTTGCCGAGGTCATGCATAATCCCTTCCTCTTTCAAGAGTTTGGTCACCATTTTTGGTTGCCTGCTGCCAAGGCAACCAAAATGGTGGCCCAACTCTTGCAAGAGAAAGGGATTTCATGAGAGTTTAGGAAACCTGTAGGGTGTGCATGGCCCAGTGAAAGTCAGGCATCAATTTGTCCACATTATAAAACTGCAGTGAAGTGTTCCTTGACTGGAGAGATGGCAAGGAAGATTTGTTGCTCTGGCAGGCAGAGGCATCAGGGGCAAGATAGGTGGTGAAGGAAGTGGTTGTGGAGGAGAGGTATGGGATGGGAAGCTGGTGACAGGCAGGTGGGACATTGTCTACCACCACCTCAGCTCTGCTACTTGGGACAACTGCCTGAGTAGGCCTCTTGGAAGTACTGGGCCTGTTTTTAAACATTAGAAACATGAAAAGCCCTGCTTCTTTTTCTGAAGTCCTTTTTTGTTATTCTCTTCAGGAAATAGTTGACAAATACGACGGCAAAATTTGGGAGGATTTCTTCATGAAGTACTTTGAACAAGTACGTATGTGTATGTTGTCTGCTGAAGGAAATAAACTGGCATCATTAAATTGTTCCATGCTAGTTCATTTGTGTAAAGGAAGATTTGTAGGTAAAAAGAAAGGTCCCATATTTGGGGAGATAATGGCTCCTGGAGAACATTACCTGAAGGCAATGCCAATGAGAGAATCTTCCTGAGGTCATCAAGGAAGATCCATGTCTCAACAACCATCAAGTATGCTAATTAGAATCCTGTAACCTATGAATCCGACAAGATCCTTCAGTTATACCTACATATACCTTCAGTTATACCAGTTATACCTACATATTCAGCAGAATGATGGGGTATATCCCTTCAGACTGTAAATGGGAGAACCGTTTGTTGGAATGCATTTGCCCATTCTTCCATCCTGAAGTGGTACTACCCCAGGAACCATATCATATGTTTCTTCTGAAAATGTAACTTGTGTGTTAGAAGGCAACAGAAACCCTGTCTTGTGGGTTTGCTGCATTCCTGGCACTCATTCATTGGGTTGTGGCCACTGGTTAGACGAAAGACCCACTGAGCATGCATGCATCTATGTTTCCATATTATACAACTGTAGTGCAGTGTTCCTTGTAAGTGTGATGGTGCTGTCCTGGATTTACAGATACTTCTTTCCTAATATATCAGCTCATTGCCTAGTAGGTGAAAGCAGGAAGGGGTATAATAAAGTGACATAGCAGGGTTCACATGCAGGAAGTGATTCAGATGCTAAGCTTATGTGTGAGCATTTCCCCCCGCTGACAGTCAGTGCTTGCGCATGATGAAAAAGCTCTAGCTGATGGATGATGGATGGTTACAGAACTTGGGCATGTGATATTTTTGCTTGGTTGTTGCCTATGAGCAGAAATAGCACTTAGCATTTAAAACTTGCCTTTTGTCTCTCCTGCTCTAGCATCCTGAAATAAATGCAATCCAGCTTCACTGGCTCCTGAACACGGCCTGGACAAGTAAGTATGATTCAGACAGTGAAATGCCATCCATCCGTGCATTCACAAATGAAACAGGTAGCAAAGTTAATTGTGCAACTGAGCCTTATGGAGCTTCCCAAAAGAAAGTGTCACAAATTGCTACCCCAGCTCAGGTTTTGATCAGCAAAAAGAACAATATGGGGGCCTCTTGTCCCTTTCCATTGTGGCTCCAGTCTGAGCTGGGCCCCCACATTTATTATCATCCTTTAAGAGTTCTGGGACGATTTCCTAGCATAATGTCTCCTTGGCCCTTAATTATTTTTTTTAATATAGGAGAATCGTCACATGTGGATTATGTGCTGTCAAGTTGTGACCATCCAGTGATGACCCCAGCAAGGGTCTTTCAAGGCACAGGTGGTTTACCATTGCCTTTCTCTGCAAAGTCTTCCTTGGTGGTCTCCTATCCAAGTACCAGCCCTGCTTAGCTTCCAAGATCTCATGAGACTGGACTATACCATGCCTCCTTCCCTCTCCTCCACTAATTTAGGAGAATGCATTTCTATATTACTTGAACTGAAGAGCCACATCTCTAGAAAGTATCAGTTATATTAAGAATATTGCAAGCCATGAGTGCAAGTTTTTAAACAGAACATTTCCTGTGCTGAGCAATAACATAATTTTTTCAGCAACTAACAATGCAGAAATGTGGATAGTCTTATCTGAACTGGGTTATGGTCATACAGTGAGGCACATCAGGATTAGAACACGGGGTTGGGATGCAGTGATAAGTTAAGAGAGCCAAATCCCACAAAGGAGAATCATATTGTGAAAGAAATGCACCCTCAAAGAGAGAAAGGCCCAGGTCAATGCTGAAGTATTTGTCCTCGGACAGCTAGAACCCGAGTGCAAGACAAAAGAAAGGTGAAGGTGTTCCCTCTAAGATGTGGAGTCCTGTGAGCAAAAATTTTACTTTGTGAGCTACCGGCATTAAAGTTGTGAGCAGGTGAATTGGCTACTGAATAACTTAGTTTGCTCTGGAATCATCCTTCCTGAGCTAAGACAAAAATGTGTGAGCCGGAGGCTAAAAAACTGTGAGCTAGCTCACACTAACTCAGCTTAGAGGGAACACTGAAGGTGTGGCAGAGACTGAGAAGGTTGATGCAGTATAAGACAGATCTTTGCAGGGATAGATCAGCTGTGAAGCAGGAGGCTGGAGGTGGGAACATGAAGAACCAAACAGCAAAAATTAAAAGCGACCAGTTGCTCAGGGGAGGGCCAGCAAAGGTCACCAGAGGCCAATGAGAAGCACAGAATAGAGCTTGGGTAGATCATCTGGCATTATGTATGGGTGGGGAAACAGTCTGCCATTAACAAACTGACGTGGTTCCCAACAACATACTTTGGTAAGGAGGCAAGGAAGCTTTCTTCTTTGATACGATTTTGGCTGGTCAGGACAGGAGCCTGCCATGCCCAGTTTTATGAGTAGCAGCTTCCATGTAGTTGAAATAGGTCTGAATGCCTCTTGTGCATCAGTCTCCCCTACTTTTTCAGAACAAGGCTGGTACTGAGTAGATCTGTATCCAAAGCTTATGCTGAACTGCTCATTATTTATGTTTACTAAAGATATGCAGAGATCTTGATAGAAAGCCTTAATGAGACTCATTACTCCTGCTGCCATCCCAAAGCACTTCATGAAGTGCCACAATGAATAACAATACACCTTTTCAAACCATTTTCCTTGAATTTATGATTTTGATAAAAAAGAGAGATCTCCTTTGATAAGCTGCAGTTTCCTAAGGTGAAATCTAGGGGGTGCCACAAAAATTTAGGTAGCACATTTTGTACATAAAGTTTTGTGAAGTCCTTACCTCATATCTAAATCATCCATTTTGCCTGTTGCTTTTAATTCTTGTAAACGCTTTATTAAGCGTAATCTATCTGAGGACCTTGCAACCCTGGAAAATGCTTGTCCTTAGGCAGTATAATGCAATTACCTTCATTTTATGGAAGCAGAATACAGGCATGGGATGACTGCAGTGCTGATCCTTAAAATGTGTCAAGGTACTCCTGTGTGCCTCTAGTTTTGAGCCTAGGATACAAGCCAAATACCAAAAGTCCACAGGGACAGGCTATACAGTAGAGGACTTCAAACCATCCGAGTTCCTGACCAATGTGAATTATCCTTTCTCACTGTTTATCCTTTTACAATATATTCCTGAAAACTCTTTCCCTTCCAGGGTCTTCTTATGGCAGCCTCTTCTTATTCCTCACTGATAGTTTAGCAAGACACATCGATTGATTTTGTCATCCATCCTGCCAAAGGAGACTAGTGCTGATTTGTACCAGTGTATCACTGGCTGCACTGGAGACTGGGTATGCACAGAATTAGTGTGCACTGAGGAATCAGTAGGGGGATTTTTGTCTTAAGAGCATAAGACCAGGCCCTGACCTGGATAGCCCAGGCATGCCCGATTCCATCAGATCTCGGAAGCTAAGCAGGGCTGACTCTGGCAAGGACTTGGAAGGGTGACCTCCAAGGAATACCAGAGGTGGGACACAGAGGCAGGCTACTCAAGCCACCTCTCTGAAAAAAACATCCAAGCCCCCAGTAGGGGTAGCCAGAAGTCAACCATGACTTCCAGGCAAGCGCACGCGCACACACACACAACTTTTTGTTGTTGTTGTTCAGTCACACAGTCGAGTCCGACTCTTCGCAGCCCCATAGACCACATCATGCCAGGCCTTCCTGTCTTCTGCCGTCCTCTGGAGTTTACTGAACTATATATATGTACAACTATATATGCACAACTATATATATGTAAAAGAGCACAAGACCAGCCAAGCTGGATCAGACCAATGGGCCATCTAGTCTAGTATCCTGTTCCACACAAGGGCCAACCAGTTGCCCCTAGAGCAGGACATGGAGGCCAAAGCAGAGGATTACTGCCTCTGAACATGGAGGTTACCTTTAGTTATTCATCATGGCTGATAACCACTGATGGACCTATCTTGCATGAATTTGTCTAGCACCCTTTCAAAGCCACCTATAAATGCATTGCGGAAGTCATTAATCCATAATACCTCCCCCCCCCGTTGCCTTTAGTTATAAGTATCACCATGATGAAATAGGTTCTTACAAATGAGTGTAATTCCATGGAAATGCTTTGCTGCATCATGTTCTTTAGATGGTTTTCCGAGCATTTTACATTAGATGCTTTGTTAGCTGTTCTTGTTTATTCCCACTTCTTCATTCTTAAAAAAATAAATATGGAGGCCCATTTCTGCTTTCCCCTCATGGGAAACCTTCTGGCCTACCCAGTTTTTACAATGTTGGCAAAAACACTTTTTATTTAAGAATTTTTTTAGTTCTCTGATGGATTCCTGAGTTTTTTGCTATTCTCACTTGATGGTGAATATTTAACTCAGTCAGTCAGGCATTTATTACGGCAACAAACTATAGAAAGGTGAATATTTAATTCACTAAAATTTTTATATGTATCCTTGAAACAGGCAGACTGTCCACACCTTGAATTAAAAGTGCCAAAGTGAGCCAGCCTCTTTTTCCCTGAGTGTTCTTCTATCAGAAACATACCTCTTACAAACATAACAACAGTCATTGTGAACAACCAGTAAAGCTGAATAGAGGAGGCCAGATTCATAAATGGATAAATCTGAATCTGCTGAAGGCATTAATGAGATAAAAGCATCTGTGGCAGACATTCAGAATAAACAAAAAAACCTTTCATCTCTTCTTAGCTGGCCCCAGAGTGAGCATAGATGGCGATGAGAGCCTTTCCGAAGTAACCCATCAGGCATTGTGAAATCTATAAGGAAACTAACCAGGCTGTGTGGCTCATCTTTTATTCTTCATAGGCAATCAATTTTAAGGCTTTCATTTTCAAACTTTACAGTGCATGATTCATATTTAATAAACAGGACTATAATGAGATTAAAACATCGTCGGTTTCTGTAGAGTAGGGATGGGTGAGTTATGAGCCTGGCGCCTGCTCCGTGGAAGTCTGCAGGCAATCTATAATCATGATTTGCAACAAGATTAGACTCTCTTTCTGTTCCATTTCTTGTCATTCGCAAATCGCCAGGAATGTTCAGCTCTGTGCTTTTAACTCGTCTATCTGTTCTGTCTCGGAGAGATGCAGAGGGGATCGGAGGAGAACACAGAGCTGTCAGATTTATCCCTGGCCTTGTTGCAACCGGCAGAGCTACAAAAAGAACAAGCCACACAGAATAGGAAGGCAAGTGACTCCTCCCGAGGTCGTTTGAGTTTCCATTCAAAGCATATTAATTTAGAAGTGTGTTCCATTGTAACGGAGGGAACTTAAGCTGTGCCTAAGTGGAAAGCTTAGGTTTATTTCCACTCTAACAGTATCCATCTAAAGAGTCTCCTCTATACAGATGTCTGCAGGAGGAGGGAACATTGCCCCCAAGAATCCTACATTTATTGCTATACAGAGTTCAAGCAGTCCCTGCAGTTGCCCTTTAAGCAGCTGTAATTAATAGGCAATGCCCCCCATATCATTATTTCTCAGAACACCTTGTTACTTTTTAGGGTGCAGGGTCTACCCCCAGATGGTCTCAGTCAACATCAGTAAGAACCAGGGTAGCACAGTGTGATGCAGAGGCTGGGGAGATCTGGCTTCAGGTCTCCATGAAGTGCCCTTGGATGACCTGGGGCCAGCCACTCAATCCAGGCTGCTTCTCAGGGTTGTTGTGATGGGGGTGAAGAGCTATTTGGCTTATGCCCTTCATTGCCACCCACATCTGGGCAGCCACTAGCCAGGTCCAACACAAGCCCCTGAGGTTCTGGCACCACTGCCGGGGCTCAGCTTGCTCCCCGTGTGGCTGGTCATGCACAACCCTCATCTTTTCCCCCAACTTTGTTTGCTAGTATGGAGCAATGAAGGTGTTGAATTTTGTGGTGCTCCGGCCAAAAAAAAAAGGTTGCCTGTCTCTGTAATGGAGAGATAAGAGATGTACATTTTCATCTAGGAAGCCAGTTATTAGGATTATTGATAAATTTGCTCATGTAACTAGAACGTTATTTGAGTTAGGCCTTAAGAGTTTAACACAGAACCTGTTTACAGTTCCATGCAAAGTAACAACGAAGTCCTTTATGCAGCTTACATTTGCCTTACCAGTCACTAGATGTAGTCACTTCTGGCCCTACAAACATATATCGAGGATTAGAGGATAGAGCTTCCAGGTGAGACCATGTATCTCTAACATCTTATTTTGAAATCAACCACTGCATGGAAGTTATATAATGATAAAAGTTTGATCTCCCTGTGGCAATAAACATCAACCAGACATGAGATGCAGCAGAGAATAATCTAAAGGGTTCTGAGGTTGTATAAAATTAGTGGGAATGCTAGCCCCAAATTTAAGGCAAACAAAAATAGTTCACTTTTCTCACAGGGTTATGGCCTTGAGGAGAGATGTTATGTTATTCCACCCGTATGGAAACTAATGCAGGGGTGCCATAGGAAGCCTTGGGCCACGTAAGAAATGCTGATCGGACAACCAGTGTTGCATGACACCATAGGGATACTGGAAGGAGCTGTACTGCATTGAGACCAGGGGAATGTAAGAATCTGCTATGAAAGACAGCAAGAAAAGCAGCTCCCATCTGTGGGTCAGGAATGGATTCTTCAGAGGTTTGCTTCTGCAGCAGAATTTCAGCTATTACACAGCTCACTCACTAGTCGTCACTTGCCTACACATATTAGCCAGAGAAGGAGGTGCCAGGAATTTAGAAACTATCAGTTTGTCCCATTCACTGGTGGACACTGGGCTTGTCCTTCTAGGGGATCAATTTTGATAAATAATGCTCATTACCTCGCCCGTATAAACCAAAATGCTTGTACAGTGACTGACCTGCACTTTTGTGCACCACCAAATTGAACAAAGACCCTGTGCCAAATATGGAGGCCTCCCATGTGTTTTTGTTGCCTGCCTGGGACTACAAAATAGGGGTGGCACTCAAGTACCTGGCAGCCCACACAAAATGGCTGCCAGGCTGGGCTTGACTTGGTAGGTCATAAGTTGCCATTACGTTCCATCTCCATAACTCAAAACTTTTCATCCTAAGTGGTAATTTTCATTCTTTGGCCTTGCATTTTAAACCCTTTAGCTGCATTCCTCCTGTACATCTTTACTGGAACTTATTTCTGTGTAAATATGCATAGGAAGGCCTGGCATGATCTGGTCCATGGGGTCGCGAAGAGTCGGACTCGACTGTGCGACTGAACAACAACAAATGCATAGGAAGCCAGACTGTCTTCTGAACTGACTCCGGTATTGCTAAAATGTGGAAATCATAAGTGAAGACACTTTCCACTTCCAATGTCCCAACTAATGCCAAGTAAAGTTATGTCATCATCATTGAGGTCATGGGCATGGTTCTACAGCATACAAATGCATTTTGTCTTGGTGTCTGACCACTGCTTAGTTTTTCTTTTTGCTTTCCTTCTCCAGATCTTCAAAACAACAGGCTGTGGTTCAGTCTGGATGCCTGCCGAAGTATCCTGGCTGTTCTAGATGTATCCTACCTTCTGCATTTAGCTATATCAGTCTGATACACAGATATCAGTCTGATACACAGTTTAGCTATATCAGTCTGATACACAGATACATGACCTGAATAGCTACTCAGTTGTTTGTTATTTATTTTGCTACTGAGAGAAAGAGACCCTTGAGAATAATATGAGGTGTGAAATTGGGAGGGGGGGTCTATGGTGGAATGTGAGAGTCATTGGAAATTTCTTCCCCTCTTCTATTAGTGGATGTGGGACCGTGGATCTGGCCAAGAGTCCAGTTGCATAATCTGGTGAAGCTGGACTCTATGTGTTGGATCCAAAGTCCAGAGAACTGGTGGCATCACTGGTGAGTAGAGGAACCTGATTGGAGGAAGGGGCAAGGGGCTCTCCCAGAATTCTGCCCCACCCCAAATTTGTATCCGAAGCTTATCAGGCAATCTGGCCCAGAGTGCATTTATTTGAAACATTTATAGTCTGAGACCTACCTTTCACCCAAAAGACTGAGACACAAGATGGGTAACAACAATAAACCCAGTACTTTATACCAGCATCAAAGAATAACCATGGAAATAGCCAGCAATAATAAATTTAAATAGAGTTCAAACTAGACCTAGGGAAGGGGTGGTAGCCCCAGACATCATAGGCACAAAGTCATCTTTATACACAGTTAATCTGAGGTGTATGGGGGAGGGTCAAGATTGCTTTGATTCTCCTGAAAACTAGTCATTAGTTGGGTTATTAATGGCCAGATTTTGCTGCCTTTGAAATTAATGAGAAAATGCTCATTGACTTTTAGGAAACAGAAGAACAGCCCTTGCGGGCAAGACTCAAAGATCTCGGGAATTAATGCGTGCTTTTGACTTTGGTTGCATTAGGCACGGGGTCACATTTATAGTGGAAGTTTAAAAAATCCAAGACTTGACTTTTAGTGTAAACAGTTAAACATAGCTGCTTTGGGATCAGGCTGGTCAAAACTTTCCCAGAATTAGTATCTCTCCGTCCCCCCCCCCAATTTAGTTTTAATTGTTGTATGCCTTGACAAATCCCTCTGCAGTTTAATGCTACTGGCACACTGAGCATTCAAGAATTCAGAAGTCTGTGGAAGAGTCTGCTTCATTACCAGGTACAAAAGACTTTAGTTGGTATGAGTGTGTGCATGTATGGATGTTAGTATTAAAGGTAAGGAGAGAAGCTTCAGAGAGTTGTCTCAGGCTTCTCATCTTTAACATGCAACTGCACCACTGTTGCAGTTGACAGGCAACCAGCATTGGCTGGAGGCAGTTGCCTCTATTCCATCAACTCAAATGCTTCTTCCAGCACAGGGGAAGTAAAGGAGTGCAGTGTGAATGGCAGCCCTCATGCTGTTGCCACTGCTGCTATGGAAGGCCACATCCCTCTTTGCTTGCCTGACAGAAGCACCACTTTGAAGCTCACCCAAAGATAGTTATACAGGGAGGCAATGCAGTGCAGTGGCTAGACCAGGAATCCCCAACTTTTTTGAGCCTGCAGGCACCTTGGAAATTCTGACGGTGTGGTGGGCACAGCCACAAAATGGCGGACACAAAATGGCTCCTGACATAGGTGTCACATTCAGGGTAAAGCCTGACATTCTACCCAGGGTTTCCAGTACGGGTATGCAAAAAAAAGAGTACTTTTAGGTTCAGGTGTACTGAACCCAAAAATATTAGTATTTCCTGATATTCCCAAATCCCAATATTGGTATGATATTGGGATTTGGGATATTATTGGGATTGCCAAATTTATTCAGCTCCACTATACCCTATGGGGACCATCTCCATAGGGTATAATGGAGAAGAGATTTGAACTTTAAATACTTGCTGCATTCACTCACAGAGTTGCACTGCGGTGGCAGCATGACACTGCAAGTGAACTGAGCAAGTATTTAAAGTTTAAATCCCTTCTGAGTTCACTCAGTGAGTCGTGCTGCCACCACAGCATGACTCCACAAGTGAACTGAGCAAGCATTTAAACTTTAAATGCTTGCTAAGTTCACTCTCAGGGTCACACCACCTCCACAGTGCAACTCAGTGAGTGAACTGAGCAAGCATTTAACATTTAAATGCTTGCTCAGTTCACTCATGGAGTCATGCCACTGTGGTGGCACAATTCACTGAGTGAACTCAGAAGGGATTTAAGCTTTAAATGCTTGCTCAGTTCTCGAACAATTCATTCACCAAGTTGCACCGCTGCAGCAGCACAACTCCACAAGTGCACTCAGGAGGGATTTAAACTTTAAATGCTTGCTTAGTTTACACTCATGGAGTTGCACCACCACAAGTGAACTCCGAGGGCATTTAAACAGACCACAGTCTCTTTAAATGCCTTCTAGTCACACCCAAATAAAAGCCAATTAATATCAGCTTTTATTCAGGCAGGGCTATTTCAGTAGCCGAGTACAGATCTCTGGTCTGTATTCAGCTTAATAAATACCTGATAAATACCAATAAGGTATTTATTCACCTCAGTATATACCAAGCACACATCCCTAGTTTCCAGGACACACAAATACAGTGACAACCAACAAGACAAGAGCAAGGTCCACAAAGCAGCCCAAAGTCTGGGAGCCAAAGGTTTAGTCCTGGGATCAGAGGAAAAGAAGTTTCAGTGTCCAGGACTTGGAACCAGAGCAGGATGCAAGGTCTGGGTCTCTGGCTGTGAACACAAGCAAAGATTAGCAAGGACAGACTATAAAGACAGCAAGTCAGGGCAGAGCCAGTCAGCTCACAGAGGTGTATTGCATGCAAAGTGACTTCCACAGTGAGCCCCGCTCAGTGTGTTTCTCTTATCTGCTTCATTAGCTGACTCATCCTCCAAAGCCCAGATGTTGCTTCTTACTGCTGAGTTCATTGTCCTCCAGGTGCAAATCCTTTGCTTCCCTGCTCCAGGTGCAAATCCTGCTCCTTCAAAGACTCTGCTCCAGAAGTTAACACTGATCACTGTTGGGCGATCAGTCCTGGGCAATCAGATGGGCACTCCTTCATCTCTAGAGCTGTCAAGCACTCTCTCCTTCTGCACTCTGCTGGTTCAGGAGAAACCAATGACAATTGATGCTCTGTGTCATTTTTTCTCTTACCAGAATGAGCAGTCTGGCTGTGGCTGGGAAGTGCTCTCACTTCCCGATGGTTCTCTTGCTGGGTCTGCTTCTCGACCCAGCTGCTCAGGCAGGTATTCCACCAGTGTGGGGCCTGACTCTTCCATTTCCTTCTCCTCAGAGGAGGAGGCAGCTGGCTGGCCTGGCCCATGACAGTAGGTGGAGTCAGCCACAAAATAGCTGCCACAACTTACCTTCAATCACGCAGTGAAGATCCTTGTGCTGTGGTGGTGGCAGCTACAGCTAATGCAATCTTTTAAAAAAGCTGCACAGCCAATCAGATCTCCAGTGGCCAATCAGAAGCTTTGCTGGGCAAAACACTATCTGGCCCTGCCCATTTTCTAAAAACACTTGGTGGGCCCCAGGAGAGGTGTCAGTGGGGTCCATGGCACCCCCAGGCAACAGACTGGGAATCCCTGGGCTGTCCTGCCAGGTTAGGTTCAAGTCATGCTTCGCTATGAGGCTCCCCAGGGCCAGTTCCTCTCTCTGAGCTCCAACAAGATTGTTGCAAGGATACAAGGGGAGAAATCTATTTCTGCTACCTTAAGCTCCTTGGAAGAATGCAGGACCCAAACAATAATGCAGATGCTTCCCTCTCTCACACTATACATCCTCCACCGGTGTTACTGGAAAAAGCATAATTAGATTTTTCATACTGGGTAGATTGCTAGTTTCTTCTATCTTCCTTCAAAAGAGAGCATGATCACTGCACCAATGTTATGCCAGAAGGTAAAAGAGAAAGCATAATTAGATTTTTCATACTGGGTAGGTTGCTAGTTTCTTCCATCTTCCTTCAAGAGAGAACATGATCACTGCACCAATGTTATGTCAGAAGGTAAAAGAGAAGGGCAGGGCAGTTGTGTGTGTGTGTTTGTATGTGAAAGGACTGACTAGGTTACTAACAGTTGACTTTTCCTTTGAACTGTTTGCAACAGAAAGTTTTCCAGAAAAAAGACACCCACCAAACTGGAACCTTGGGCCTAGAAGAGTTACACGCAGCCACGAAAGAAATGGGTAGGTTATGATGAAGCATTTACCATTAGTTAGCATCCGTGGACATCCAGTGTTCAAGTATTGCAATGGTCATGTTTCTATTCTTGAGTTGGACATTGAGCAGCAAGTATGCAACGTTCTGGTTGTTTTCCTAAGAACCCCCTGAACTATTCAATTCTTGACCATGGCTAATGCTATCCTGGTTAGATTCCATAGCTGGTAAAGTACAACGGGAGGGGTTATAATAGACTAGAGAGATACATAATTTGCATTCCAAACAACTTTGGGTCAGTTCTCAGAATCTCCTGGTATATCCAAGGTAGCAGGGCTGGGATTGGCCTGTGCCTTAGAAAGCTGCTGGATTCAATGGACCGATGGCCTGACAGAAGGCAATTGTTTCATTTTCCTCCAAGACCTGCAGAAATTGAAGGTTGTAAGTGCTTATCCTCAAATGGCAAAGTAGGAAAACATGACACCATCCACCCAGTACAGAGTTGTGCATGACTGTATTGCTTCCATGTGTAGCAAGCCAGAGCAGCTGAAGGTTAGAAATGAGGTATACTGGCCACATGACCACGGAAACGTCTTCGGACAGCGCTGGCTCTTCGGCTTTGAAACGGAGATGAGCACCGCAACCCTAGAGTCGGACTCGACTGGCTTTCGAGCAAGGGAACCTTTACCTTTTATACTTCAAACAGTGCAGGTCACTGGCATGATGTACCTTCTTCAACCAAGTTATGATTCTAGGCTATATTAATATGCAGGAAATCCTTACAACCTGGGTGGAGCTTTCAAATCTTAGGCAATATTCCCCCCATTATTTGAGGGAGCAATTATCTCTGCCATTCATTCACATCAAGTGCTTTGTGAGATTTGATTGGGTACATAACTATTTTTTTCTGTAACGGAATGGACTCAGTGTTATGATTATTTTGGAAAGTGCTTTACTACTGTAATAGTTTATTAGGTGCTTAAATGTACAACAGTTCTAGCCGTCCTCCAAATCCTTGAAGTGGGCTTTTAGAATACCAGCTTCAGTTGTTACAATAATTGTGAAAGTGAAACTTCCTAGAAGGGCTCGGAGAACAGGGCTTATGATGATTACCTTAATTGGAAGGAAAGCTCATAAATCAGAAGGTGGCTTTAGACAGACAGCATAGTACTTCTAAGACTAGCAAGTTATGGTCCCTACAATTTATATCTGCTAGCTGCACACTGAACCGTTTGAAGCTTCTGGTTGTTTTCCTAAGAACCCCCTGAACTATTCAACTCTTGACCATGGCTAATGCTATCCTGGTTAGATTCCATAGCTGGTAAAGTACAAAAGGAGGGGTTCAAGGGTAACTCCACATAGAGAACATTGCAGTAGTCCAGCCTGGAGGTAGTCAGAGCATAAATAGCTTGTCTCCCAAGGAAGGGCTGCATCTGGTAAACCAACTAAATCTGTTTAAAGTCATTAGGCGCCATGGAAGAGATCTCTCTATATAGTCCCTTATACCTAGCAACTCAGGCCTTTCATGCATTTCCACAGTGGTGCCAGAACTACTTTTCTATGGTTTCAGCACACATAATAATAATAATAATAATAATAATAATGTGTGAATGGCTGGAACCAGATGGGTAGAATAAACTACATTGGACTTTCCAAGCAAACTGCTATTCTCCCTTCCAAGCGGGACAGCATTCAGATGGGAAGGACCTGTGTGATTGACCCCAGTACCAAATTACAGGCAATGAACAGACTAAACTCCAGGCACCTCTCTGATAACAGTGTGGCATCTGTGTACTTGTGCCAGCTTCACTCTTGGCTTGGCATTCAAAAGAGGCACACATGTAGAGCAGCATCCACTGATCTGATTCTATAAGGGAAAAAAATGATTTAAATGACTATAAGGTAGATCTGTACAGAATGTATCTTTGTTAAATGGAATTAGTTCAGTTTTTAATGATGCTGAGGTTGGAGCTTAATTAGCTTGAAATTAATAAAAATTACAAGAGCCAGAGCTAAAACCGCATAATGAAAGAAATGAAATTAGAATTCATTACAATGTACTTGCTGTACCATCTGACAACAATAAACCAATCATAATTGAAAACATGATGCAATTAAAAAACACAGGCTTTCAAAGATCACATTAACAAACTTTAAGTGATTGTAGGGCTAGCAAATGTGTTATTAATTAGTTTCACTGGGGTCCCCCTGCAGAGCCTGCTGCTCCTTGCATAACAGCTGCTTAAATCCTGATGATTCTCAGCATTTTTTGTATGCTTTGTGTCAGTATTTTCTTAATTGGTAACATGCAAACTTCTGTGTGCTACTAAGGAAGTGTCAATGCCACTTCACTGATGGGGCTGATGTCCCCAGCCCAGTCCTGGTTTCTGTGGGTCCAGGGCAGCAGTGGACATTCTTGTTGCTTCTTTGACCAAAAGCCACAAGGCCCACTAGAATGGCCATCTACCCCTTGATATTTTTGGAGCTCTGGGCAGCTTCCGAACACCAGCCCTAGCTAGAGGAAGGAGCAGATAACCAAATTAGCGACAGCGAGCACTATTCACCAGTATGCATTCTTCCTTGTAATACTTCATAGTGCTATTGTCCATATGTAGACTCAACAGGAGACTTAGGTGTCTTTTTTATTTTATCTAAAAGGAACCTCCCTGAGTGATGAAGTGTGTAATTTGATGGTGCTCCGATATGGGGATCGTGACCTGAAAATCAGCTTTCAGAGCTTCGTGTGCTTCATGCTGCGTGTGGAATTCCTTAAGAGTGAGCATGGCATTTTATTTTTCTCACACAGAACCCCAAACAAAGTTGGCATTTAAGGAAAAGTCCTTGGCTATAAGATACTGGGTGTGCAGACTGGTTTGAAATCAGAACAGAAGCAATTGTTCCATGGCCATCTTTATCCCCACTGTTTTCTTCACATCTGTAGATCATGGGAAGTTCAGGGATTCTAGGAGATTTTTTTCCCCTATAGAAAATAAGGTGTAACAGGTTTAGCTTCTGTATTAAGAATGTTTTAGGAATGGAGGAAACCTGAGCTATGAATAGAATTCTGATGGACTCTTTTACAGGATTTTTTTCCTGAAAGAGGAGGTCTTATAGTGGAGAACAAGTACTCCACATTTTCCAAGAATTTCAGGATACAGGGGCTGATGGGATAGTTTCCTCCTTGCATCTTGGGTTGGGGGGACAGTTCAGTAGCTTCATCTGCCCAAATTTTTCCAGTGTGAGAAGACAGCATGTCCCAAAAGTTCCATCTTTTTCATCTGCCCAAATTTTTCCAGTGTGAGGAGACAGCATGTCCCAAAAGTTCCGTCTTTCTCTATTTTGCTTCAAGGCTACCCTGAGGGATGTTGACGCTCCAGCTGTCATCTTTTATTGACTCTCCCCCTATGCCTTTAAGAGGAACCTGAGACACAGAATTTGAACCACTGAAATTTTCCCCTTCATTTGCTTCCATACCAGGAATACAACCTGATAGATTTCTGTGTGCCAGCCTGCTCTGAAAAGCAGAGCGAGAAGGCCAGTAAAAAGATCATAATCCGGGCAACTTTAGCATGTCAAGAATGAGCATGTCAGTCAGGCTTTAGGACAGGGGAAGTGGGATGCCTCTTCTTCCTGTGAACCATCAAATCAGTTTCCCCAATTTCTTCCATTTATAGAGGCCTTCTTCAACTTAACTAAAGATGGCAAAGGGATCTATCTTCAAGAGTATGAGGTAAGTTATATTTTTTTCCTACAGCAAAGGGCTACTTACTAGAGAAAACACCATTTGCCTTTGAATCTATACATTTCATGACTGCATCCAGAAGCAGAGAACTGAGCTCTGTCCACATGGTGGCCAAATCACTGTCATGTGGCTGATTATTTACCTCTCCATTCATTGCATTGTCTGGAGGGTGCAACCAGAATTTCCTTTCCTGAGGAGTGACTTATAAGAGATGCCCCAGGCTCATGTGCTGTTGCTCCTTCCTTTCCCCATTGCTCTGCCCTTTTCCACCACAGGACAAGAGAGAAAACTGCCAGCCCCTCCAAGTGTAACTGTGATAACTGTGCTGTCAGAGTGCTGAATCACAAGCACAGGAGGGATGCTGCTTTTCTCCTTGCCACAATCCCACTTGTACACCCAGGCAAGCCACAGCTATTGTGTTTGTAGCAGCCCTTACAATGACAATGACTGCAGCCTGTCTTAGGTATGCAGCCTGATTGCTTCCTATGATCCTGGACACGGGAGGGGAGAAAGCACGAACATGAACCAGCTTTTAACTATAGAAGAATGGGATAAATCCCCAATGTCTGGAAGAAAAATAGTGGTGAACTCAGTAATTCAGAAAGAGATGTTTTAGGGAGCTGTGCAGGCACCCTCAGCTCATGGTCTTTAGTAAACTATGCAGGCACCCAGGCAGTCCCAGGAAGTCCCAGCCCTTGGACCAAGAGTCCTCTCAGAGCAGCTTGAGTTCCTGAGTCCATTCTCCTTGTCACTTCAGTGGCAGACGTTATTGCATGGGTTGAGGGCCACTATTTCCCTTTCCCTATGGACTGCACTGAGCACTCAACGCAATGTAGAAAGGGTGATGTAGGCCCCGGTCAGACAGAGAATTTGCCGCACGAAAGGCACGAATGTCGGGCGGATTTTCGGGGCGCGATCACACTGCAACATCTGGGAAGCGTAGCACACCTGTGGCCAACCTGTGGCGTCCCGCCGAAGATGCAGAGTTAAAAAGTACCAAGGAAAGTGCACTAGTATTCGGAAAATGCGTGGCACAGGGAGTCTGATTGCGGGAACGCTAGCATCCCATGGCATCCGGCTCCTGTCCACGTCCTGTCGCAAACCGGATGTTTTTCGTAAGCGCATGTGCACAAACATGAAACTGAAAGCAGTGCTGCTCCACAGGACTGCGCATGCACAGAAACGTGAAACGCTTGTGTGATCGCGCCGCGCCACTTCTTTGCTATGCTGCAGCGTCGCCGTATGATCGCCAGCTAACAGCCTAATCACAGAGACTGGGGGGCCATGTGATCAGGCTGCCATGCTTTATTTTGCTCCAGGGCGAACAGCCACACCTCCCCCCCACGTTATCTGGTCCGTGTGACCGGGGCCGTAAAGAGCCAGTTTGGTGTAGTGGTTAAGTGTGCGGATGCTGATCTGGGAGAACCGGGTTTGATTCCCCACTCCTCCACTTGTACCTGCTGGATGACCTTGGGCAAGCCATAGTTCTGTCAGAGCTGTTCTTGAAAAAGAGCAGTTTCTGTCAGAGCTCTCTCGGCCCCACCTACCTCACAGGGTGTCTGTTGTGGGGAGGGGAAGGGAAAGGAGTTTGTAAGCCACTCTGAGACACCTTTGGGTAGTGAAGGGCGGGGTATAAATCCAATCTCTTCTCTCTCTCCTTCTTCTGTGACTGGCTTTCTCATTAACAGAGCGCTAGAGAGTTAAATTAAAGTTTCTCACTGCACCCTGATCCAATCACATCAGTTTCTCTTCCACGAACACATGAAGGTGCTCTGGTCATTATTTTT